GTGGGTGGTTATGTGGGTGAGTGAGTGGGTGGGTGGGTGGGTGAGTGAGTGAGTGAATGGGTGAGTGAGTGGGTGGATGAGTGAGTGGGTGGGTGCGTGAATGCGTGTGTGTGTGGATGTATGGGTGAGTGATTGGGTGGTTGGGTGAGTGGGTGCGTGGGTGGGTGAGTGGGTGGGTGGGTGAGTGGGTGGGTGAGTGAGTGGGTGAATGAGTGGGTGGGTGGGTGAGTGTGTGGGTGAGTGCGTGTGTGTGGGTATGTGGGGAGTGGGTGGGTGAGTGAGTGGGTGGGTGAGTGGGTGGGTGATTGTGTGGGTGGTTTTGTGGGTGAGTGAGTGGGTGGGTGGGTGGGTGAGTGGGTGAGTGGGTTTGTGGTAAGTGGGTGTGTGGGCGGGTGAGTGTGTGGGTGAGTGTGTGGGTGGTTTTGTGGGTGAGTGAGTGAGTGGGTGGGTGAGTGAGTGGGTGAGTGGGTTTGTGGGTGAGTGAGTGGGTGGGTGAGTGGGTGAGTGGGTGGGTGAGTGGGTGAGTGGGTTTGTGGGTGAGTGAGTGGGTGAGTGGGTGGGTGAGTGTGTGGGTGAGTGTGTGGGTGGTTATGTAGATGAGTGAGTGGGTGGGTGGGTGGGTGAGTGAGTGAGTGGGTGAGTGAGTGGGTGGATGAGTAAGTGGGTAAATGGGTTTGTTGATGGGTGGATGAGTGGGTGAGTGGGTGGGTAAGTGAGTGAGTGGGTGGGTGAGTTAGTGAGTGGGTGGGTGAGTGAGTGGGTGGGTGAGTGGGTGGGTGAGTGGCAGGGTGAGTGTGTGGGTGAGTGAGTGAGTGGGTGGGTGAGTGAGTGGGTGGGTGGGTGGGTGAGTGGTGAGTGGTGAGTGAGTGGTGGGTGGGTGAGTGAGTGGCTGGGTGAGTGAGTGGGTGAGTGAGTGGGTGGGTGGGTGGGTGAGTGAGTGAGTGAGTGACTGAGTGAGTGAGTGGGTGGGTGAGTGAGTGAGTGGGTGGGTGGGTGAGTGAAGTGAGTGGCTGGGTTAGTGAGTGGGTGAGTGAGTGGGTGGGCTGAGTGGGTGAGTGGGTGAGTGAGTGGGTGGGTGGGTGAGTGGGTGATGTGAGTGAGTGGGTGGTGAGTGAGTGGGTGGTGAGTGGGTGAGTGAGTGGGTGGGTGAGTGAGTGAGTGAGTGGGTGTTTGGGTGAGTCGGTGGGTGGTGAGTGGGTGAGTGGGTGGGTGAGTGAGTGAGTGGGTGGGTGAGTAGGTGGGTGATGTGAGTGGCTGGGTGGGTGAGTGGGTGAGGTGATGTGAGTGGCTGGGTGAGTGAGTGGGTGAGTGGGTGAGTGAGTGGGTGGGTGGGTGAGTGAGTGGGTGAGTGAGTGGGGTGGGTGGGTGAGGGGTGGGTGAGTGAGTGAGTGGCTGGGTGAGTGAGTGGTAGTGAGTGGAGTGGGTGGGTGAGTGAGTGAGTGAGTGAGTGACTGAGTGAGTGAGTGAGTGGGTGGGTGAGTGAGTGAGTGGGTAGGTGGGTGAGTGCGTGAGTGGCTGGGTGAGTGAGTGGGTGAGTGAGTGGGTGGGTGAGTGGGTTTGTGGGTTGAGTGAGTGGGTGAGTGGGTGGGTGAGTGTGTGGGTGAGTGTGTGGGTGGTTATGTAGATGAGTGAGTGGGTGGGTGGGTGGGTGAGTGAGTGAGTGGGTGAGTGAGTGGGTGGATGAGTAAGTGGGTAAATGGGTTTGTTGATGGGTGGATGAGTGGGTGAGTGGGTGGGTAAGTGAGTGAGTGGGTGGGTGAGTTAGTGAGTGGGTGGGTGAGTGAGTGGGTGGTGTGAGTGGGTGGGTGAGTGGCAGGGTGAGTGTGTGGGTGAGTGAGTGAGTGGGTGGGTGAGTGAGTGGGTGGGTGGGTGGGTGAGTGGGTGAGTGGGTGAGTGAGTGGGTGGGTGGGTGAGTGAGTGGCTGGGTGAGTGAGTGGGTGAGTGAGTGGGTGGGTGGGTGGGTGGGTGGTGAGTGAGTGAGTGAGTGACTGAGTGAGGTGAGTGGGTGGGTGGGTGAGTGAGTGAGTGGCTGGGTTAGTGAGTGGGTGAGTGAGTGGTGGGTGAGTGGGTTGAGTGGGTGAGTGAGTGGGTGGGTGGGTGAGTGGGTGAGTGACGTGAGTGGGTGGTGAGCGAGTGGGTGGTGAGTGGGTGAGGTGAGTGGTGGGTGAGTGAGTGAGTGAGTGAGAGTGGGTGTTTGGGTGAGTCGGTGGGTGGTGAGTGGGTGAGTGGGTGGGTGAGGGAGTGAGTGGGTGGGTGAGTAGGTGGGTGGAGTGAGTGGCTGGGTGGGTGAGTGGGTGAGTGAGTGAGTGGCTGGGTGAGTGAGTGGGGTGAGTGGGTGAGTGAGTGGGTGGGTGGGTGAGTGAGTGGGTGAGTGAGTGGGTGGGTGGGTGAGTGGTGGGTGAGTGAGTGAGTGGGCTGGGTGAGTGAGTGGGGTGAGTGAGTGGGTGGGGTGTGGGTGAGTGAGTGAGTGAGTGAGTGAGTGACTGAGTGAGTGGGTGAGTGAGTGGGTGGGTGAGTGAGTGAGTGGGTAGGTGGGTGAGTGAGTGAGTGGCTGGGTGAGTGAGTGGGTGATGGAGGTGGGGGGGTGAGTGGGTGAGTGGGTGGGTGAGTGGGTGGGTGGGTGGGTGGGTGGGTGATGTGAGTGAGTGGGTGAGTGAGTGAGTGAGTGAGTGGGTGGTGAGTGAGTGGGTGAGTGAGTGAGTGGGTGGGTGAGTGAGTGAGTGGGTGTTTGGGTGAGTCGGTGGGGGGTGAGTGGGTGAGTGGGTGAGTGGGTGGGTGAGTGGGTGGGTGAGTGAGTGAGTGAGTGAGTGGGGTGGGTGAGTAGGTGGGTGAGTGAGTGGCTGGGTGGGTGATGTGGAGTGAGTGAGTGAGTGGCTGGGTGAGTGGGTGAGTGGGTGAGTGAGTGAGTGGGTGGGTGGGTGAGTGAGTGAGTGGCTGGGTGAGTGAGTGGGTGGGTGGGTGAGTGAGTGAGTGGGTGGGTGGGTGGGTGGGTGGAGTGAGTGAGTGGGTGAGTGAGTGGGTGAGTGAGTGAGTGGGTTAGTGAGTGAGTGGCTGGGTGAGTGGGTGGGTGAGTGGGTGAGTGGGTGGGTGAGTGAGTGAGTGGGTGAGGTGAGTGAGTGGGTGGTGAGTGAGTGGGTGGTGAGTGGGTGAGTGAGTGAGTGAGTGGGTGGGTGAGTGAGTGAGTGGGTGTTTGGTGAGTCGGTGGGGGGTGAGTGGGTGAGTGGGTGAGTGGGTGGGTGAGTGGGTGGGTGAGTGAGTGATGTGGGTGGTGAGTAGGTGGGTGAGTGAGTGGCTGGGTGGGTGAGTGGGTGAGTGAGTGAGTGGCTGGGTGAGTGGGTGAGTGAGTGGGTGGGTGGGTGAGTGAGTGACTGGCTGGGTGAGTGAGTGGGTGAGTGAGTGGGTGGGTGGGTGGGTGAGTGGGTGGGTGGGTGAGTGAGTGGGTGGGTGAGTGAGTGAGTGGTGGAGTGGGTGGGTGAGTGAGTGAGTGGGTGGGTGAGTGGAGTGAGTGAGTGGGTGGGTGAGTGGGTGAGTGGGTGGGTGGGTGGGTGAGTGAGTGGGTGAGGGAGTGGGTGAGTGATGTGAGTGAGTGGGTGAGTGAGTGGGTGGGTGAGTGAGTGGCTGGGTGAGTGAGTGGGTGAGTGGGTGAGTGAGTGGGTGGGTGGGTGAGTGAGTGAGTGGGTGGGTGAGTGAGTGAGTGAGTGGTGGTGAGTGGGTGGGTGGGTGAGTGAGTGAGTGGGTGGGTGGGTGAGTGGGTGGGTGGGTGAGGTGAGTGGGTGGGTGAGTGAGTGAGTGGGTGAGTGGATGGGTGGGTGAGTGGGTGAGTGGGTGGGTGAGTGAGTGGGTGGGTGGGTGAGTGAGTGGGTTGAGTGAGTTGAGTGGGTGAGTGGGTGAGTGAGTGGGTGGGTGAGTGGGGTGAGTGGGAGTGAGGGTGGATGGGTGGGTGAGTGAGTGGGTGAGTGAGTGGGTGGGTGGGTGAGTGAGTGGGTGGATGGGTGGGTGGGTGGGTGGGTGAGTGAGTTGGTGGATGGGTGGGTGGGTGAGTGGGTGAGTGAGTGGGTGGTGAGTGGGTGAGTGAGTGAGTGAGTGGGTGGGTGAGTGAGTGAGTGGGTGTTTGGGTGAGTCGGTGGGGGGTGAGTGGGTGAGTGGGTGAGTGGGTGGGTGAGTGGGTGGGTGATGTGAGTGAGTGGGTGGGTGAGTAGGTGGGTGAGTGAGTGGCTGGGTGGGTGAGTGGGTGAGTGAGTGGCTGGGTGAGTGGGTGAGTGAGTGGGTGGGTGGGTGAGTGAGTGACTGGCTGGGTGAGTGAGTGAGTGGGTGAGTGAGTGGGTGGGTGGTTTGGGTGAGTGGGTGGGTGAGTGGGTGGGTGAGTGAGTGAGTGGGTGGGTGGGTGAGTGAGTGAGTGAGTGGGTGGGTGAGTGAGTGAGTGAGTGGGTGGGTGAGTGAGTGAGTGAGTGGGTGGGTGGGTGAGTGAGTGAGTGGGTGAGTGAGTGAGTGGGTGAGTGAGTGAGTGGGTGAGTGAGTGGGTGGGTGAGTGGGTGAGTGGGTGGGTGAGTGAGTGAGTGGGTGGGTGAGTGAGTGGGTGAGTGAGTGGGTGAGTGGGTGAGTGAGTGGGTGGGTGAGTGGGTGAGTGAGTGGGTGGATGGGTGGGTGAGTGAGTGCGTGAGTGAGTGAGTGGGTGGGTGAGTGAGTGGGTGGATGGGTGGGTGAGTGAGTGGGTGAGTGATTGGGTGGGTGAGTGGGTGGATGAGTGGGTGAGTGAGTGGGTGAGTGAGTGGGTGGGTGAGTGAGTGGGTGGATGGGTGGTTGAGTGAGTGGGTGAGTGAGTGGGTGGGTGGGTGAGTGAGTGGGTGGGTGAGTGAGTGGGTGGGTGGATGAGTGGGTGAGTGGGTGGATGGGTGAGTGGCTGGGTGGGTGGGGGGGGGTGTTGTGGGAGTGGCAGGAGAAGGTGGAAGGCGGGGCGTGGTGACCCGGAAGTCGTCTCGCGCGCTGCACTCTGGGCCATTTCCTTTTTACAGTACACGTGGGGGTGTCGGTCCAGGCGCAGAGTTCCGACGTTTCGCTTCCTCCTCCTCGACCTCGACTCGACTCAGTCGCGATGGCAGAAGCCGTAGACCGGATCAAGCACCGCTTACAGCAGCAGGTGAGGGTGATGTGGGTCTCTGCGTGGTGAGTCTGTGGGTCTCTGTGTGGTGAGTCTGTGGGTCTCTGTGTGGTGAGTCTGTGGCTCTCTGTGTGGTGAGTCTGTGGGTCTCTGTGTGGTGAGTCTGTGGGTCTCTGTGTGGTGAGTCTGTGGGTCTCTGTGTGGTGAGTCTGTGGGTCTCTGTGTGGTGAGTCTGTGGCTCTCTGTGTGGTGAGTCTGTGGGTCTCTGTGTGGTGAGTCTGTGGGTCTCTGTGTGGTGAGTCTGTGGGTCTCTGTGTGGTGAGTCTGTGGGTCTCTGTGTGGTGAGTCTGTGGGTCTCTGTGTGGTGAGTTCTGTGGGTCTCTGTGTGGTGAGTCTGTGGGTCTCGTGGTGGTGATTCTGTGGTCTCTGTGGGGTGATTCTGTGTGGGTCCTCTGTGTGGTGAGGACCTGTGGGTCCTCTGTGTGTGAGTCTGTGGGTCTCTGTGTGTTGGTCTGTGGGTCTCTGTGTGGTGAGTTGTGGGTCTCTGTGTGGTGAGTCTGTGGGTCTCTGTGTGGTGAGTCTGTGGGTCTCTGTGTGGTGAGTCTGTGGGTCTCTGTGTGGTGAGTCTGTGGGGTCTCTGTGTGGTGAGTCTGTGGGTCTCGTGTGGTGAGTCGTGGGTCTCTGTGTGGTGAGTCTGTGGGTCTCTGTTGGTGAGTTGTGGGTCTCTGTGTGGTGAGTCTGTGGGTCTCTGGTGTGGTGAGTCTGTGGGTCTCTGTGTGGTGAGTCTGTGGGTCTCTGTGTGGTGAAGGTCCTGTGGGTCTCGTGTGGTGAGTCTGTGGGTCTCTGTGTGGTGAGTCTGTGGGTCTCTGTGTGGTGAGTCTGTGGGTCTGTGTGGTGAGTCTGTGGGTCTCTGTGTGGTGAGTCTGTGGGTCTCTGTGTGGTGAGTCTGTGGGTCTCTGTGTGGTGAGTCTGTGGGTCTCTGTGTGGTGAGTCTGTGGGTCTCTGTGGTGAGTCTGTGGGTCTCTGTGTGGTGAGTCTGTGGGTCTCGTGTGGTGAGTCTGTGGGTCTCGTGTGGTGAGTCTGTGGGTCTCTGTGTGGTGAGTCTGTGGGTCTCTGTGTGGTGAGTCTGTGGGTCTCTGTGTGGTGAGTCTGTGGGTCTCTGTGTGGTGAGTCTGTGGGTCTCTGTGTGGTGAGTCTGTGGGTCTCTGTGTGGTGAGTCTGTGGGTCTCTGTGTGTGAGTCTGTGGGTCTCTGTGTGGTGAGTCTGTGGGTCTCTGTGTGGTGAGTCTGTGGGTCTGTGTGGTGAGTCTGTGGGTCTCTGTGTGGTGAGTCTGTGGGTCTCTGTGTGGTGAGTCTGTGGGTCTCTGTGTGGTGAGTCTGGGTCTCTGTGTGGTGAGTCTGTGGGTCTCTGTGTGGTGAGTCTGTGGGTCTCTGTGTGGTGAGTCTGTGGGTCTCTGTGTGGTGAGTCTGTGGGTCTCGGTGTGGTGAGTCTGTGGGTCTCTGTGTGGTGAGTCTGTGGGTCTCTGTGTGGTGAGTCTGTGGGTCTCTGTGTGGTGAGTCTGTGGGTCTCTGTGTGGTGAGTCTGTGGGTCTCTGTGTGGTGAGTCTGTGGGTCTCTGTGTGGTGAGTCTGTGGGTCTCTGTGTGGTGAGTCTGTGGGTCTCTGTGTGGTGAGTCTGTGGGTCTCTGTGTGGTGAGTCTGTGGGTCTCTGTGTGGTGAGTCTGTGGGTCTCTGCTGTGGTGAGTCTGTGGGTCTCTGTGTGGTGAGTCTGTGGGTCTCTGTGTGGTGAGTCTGTGGGTCTCTGTGTGGTGAGTCTGTGGGTCTCTGTGTGGTGAGTCTGTGGGTCTCTGTGTGGTGAGTCTGTGGGTCTCTGTGTGGTGAGTCTGTGGGTCTCTGTGTGGTGAGTCTGTGGGTCTCTGTGTGGTGAGTCTGGGGTCTCTGTGTGTGAGTCTGTGGGTCTCTGTGTGGTGAGTCTGTGGGTCTCTGTGTGGTGAGTCTGTGGGTCTCTGTGTGGTGAGTCTGTGGGTCTCTGTGTGGTGAGTCTGTGGGTCTCTGTGTGGTGAGTCTGTGGGTCTCTGCGTGGTGAGTCTGTGGGCTCTGTGTGGTGAGTCTGTGGGTCTCTGTGTGGTGAGTCTGTGGGTCTCTGTGTGGTGAGTCTGTGGGTCTCTGTGTGGTGAGTCTGTGGCTCTCTGTGTGGTGAGTCTGTGGGTCTCTGTGTGGTGAGTCTGTGGGTCTCTGTGTGGTGAGTCTGTGGGTCTCTGTGTGGTGAGTCTGTGGCTCTCTGTGTGGTGAGTCTGTGGGTCTCTGCGTGGTGAGTCTGTGGGTCTCTGTGTGGTGAGTCTGTGGGTCTCTGTGTGGTGAGTCTGTGGGTCTCTGTGTGGTGAGTCTGTGGGTCTCTGTGTGGTGAGTCTGTGGGTCTCTGTGTGGTGAGTCTGTGGGTCTCTGTGTGGTGAGTCTGTGGGTCTCTGTGTGGTGAGTCTGTGGGTCTCTGTGTGGTGAGTCTGTGGGTCTCTGTGTGGTGAGTCTGTGGTCTCTGTGTGGTGAGTCTGTGGGTCTGTGTGGTGAGTCTGTGGGTCTCTGTGTGGTGAGTCTGTGGGTCTCTGTGTGGTGAGTCTGGGGTCTCTGTGGTGAGTCTGTGGGTCTCTGTGTGGTGAGTCTGTGGGTCTCTGTGTGGTGAGTCTGTGGGTCTCTGTGTGGTGAGTCTGTGGGTCTCTGCTGTGGTGAGTCTGTGGGTCTCTGTGTGGTGAGTCTGTGGGTCTCTGTGTGGTGAGTCTGTGGGTCTCTGTGTGGTGAGTCTGTGGGTCTCTGTGTGGTGAGTCTGTGGGTCTCTGTGTGGTGAGTCTGCGGGTCTCTGTGTGGTGAGTCTGCGGGTCTCTGTGTGGTGAGTCTGCGGGTCTCTGTGTTGTGAGTCTGTGGGTCTCTGTGTGGTGAGTCTGTGGGTCTCTGTGTGGTGAGTCTGTGGGTCTCTGTGTGGTGAGTCTGTGGGTCTCTGTGTGGTGAGTCTGTGGGTCTCTGTGTGGTGGGTCTGTGGGTCTCTGTGTGGTGAGTCTGTGGGTCTCTGTGTGGTGAGTCTGTGGGTCTCTGTGTGGTGAGTCTGTGGGTCTCTGTGAGGCGAGTCTGTGGGTCTCTGTGTGGTGGGTCTGTGGGTCTCTGTGTGGTGAGTCTGTGGGTCTCTGTGTGGTGAGTCTGTGGGTCTCTGTGTGGTGGGTCTGTGGGTCTCTGCGTGGTGAATCTGTGGGTCTCTGTGTGGTGAGTCTGTGGGTCTCTGTGTGGTGAGTCTGTGGGTCTCTGTGTGGTGGGTCTGCGGGTCTCTGTGTGGTGAGTCTGTGGGTCTCTGTGTGGTGAGTCTGCGGGTCTCTGTGTGGTGAGTCTGCGGGTCTCTGTGTGGTGAGTCTGTTGGTCTCTGTGTGGTGAGTCTGTGGGTCTCTGTGTGGTGAGTCTGTGGGTCTCTGTGTAGTGAGTCTGTGGGTCTCTGTGTGGTGAGTCTGTGGGTCTCTGTGTGGTGAGTCTGTGGGTCTCTGTGTGGTGAGTCTGTGGGTCTCTGTGTGGTGAGTCTGTGGGTCTTTGTGTGGTGAGTCTGTGGGTCTCTGTGTGATGAGTCTGTGGGTCTCTGTGTGGTGAGTCTGTGGGTCTCTGTGTGGTGAGTCTGTGGGTCTCGGTGTGGTGAGTCTGCGGGTCTCTGTGTGGTGAGTCTGCGGGTCTCTGTGTGGTGAGTCTGTGGGTCTCTGTGTGGTGAGTCTGTGGGTCTCTGTGTGGTGAGTCTGTGGGTCTCTGTGTGGTGAGTCTGTGGGTCTCTGTGTGGTGAGTCTGTGGGTCTCTGTGTGGTGAGTCTGTGGGTCTCGGTGTGGTGAGTCTGCGGGTCTCTGTGTGAGTGAGTCTGTGGGTCTCTGTGTGGTGAGTCTGTGGGTCTCTGTGTGAGTGAGTCTGTGGGTCTCTGTGTGGTGAGTCTGTGGGTCTGTGTGGTGGGTCTGTGGGTCTCTGTGTGGTGAGTCTGTGGGTGTCTGTGTGGTGAGTCTGTGGGTTTCTGTGTGGTGAGTCTGTGGGTCTCTGTGTGGTGAGTCTGTGGGTCTCTGTCTGGTGAGTCTGTGGGTCTCTGTGTGGTGAGTCTGTGGGTCTCTGTGTGGTGAGTCTGTGGGTGTCTGTGTGGTGAGTCTGTGGGTTTCTGTGTGGTGAGTCTGTGGGTCTCTGTGTGGTGATTCTGTGGGTCTCTGTGTGGTGATTCTGTGGGTGTCTGTGTGATGAGTCTATGGGTATCTGTGTGGTGAGTCTCCACTGACTCATTCACCTGCTCCCTCACCCACTCACTCACCCACTCACTCACTCAACTCACTCACTCAACTCACTCACCCACCCACTCACTCACTCACTCACCCACCCACCCACCCACTCACCCACCCACCCACTCACCCACCCACCCACCCACTCACCCACCCACTCACTCACCCACTCACTCACCCACCCACCCACCCACTCACTCACTCACTCACCCACTCACTCACTCACTCACCCACCCACCCACTCACTCACTCACCCACCCACTCACTCACTCACTTACCCACTCACCCACTCGCTCACTGACTCACTCACCCACTCGCTCATTGACTCACTCACCCACTCTCTCACTCACCCACCCACCCACTCACTCACTGACTGGTCGACTAACCCACCCACCCACTCACCCGCCACTCACCCACTCACCCACTCACCCACTCACTCACCCACTCTCTCACCCACTCACTCACTGACTCGCTCACTCACCCACTCACTCACTGACTGGTCGACTAACCCACCCACCCACTTGCGTCAGGATCTGGAGATCAGCCGTCTCTCGGCCGAGGTGTCGTCCCTGCGTGGCGCCGTGGTGGACGCCGGCGGCACCACCGAGTCCTCCCCAGCTCCTCCCGGGGTGGAGCGTCTCCTCGAGGAGAACGGGAAGCTGCAGTATCGCCTCCGCCACCTCAAGCGGGTGAGGGGCACCGCGGTTGACTGCCGTGCCAGGCTAGGTGCATGAGGAGGTCACGGGACAGACCCAGCAGGTGCCGTGGGTTGGCTGCTGTGCCAGGCTAGGTGCAGGAGGAGGTCATGGGACAGACCCAGCAGGTGCCATGGGTTGACTGCTGTGCCAGGCTAGGTGCAGGAGGAGGAGGTCACGGGACAGACCCAGCAGGTGCCGTGGGTTGGCTGCTGTGCCAGGCTAGGTGCAGGAGGAGGAGGGTCATGGGACAGACCCAGCAGGTGCCGTGGGTTGACTGCTGTGCCAGGCTAGGTGCAGGAGGAGGTCACGGGACAGACCCAGCAGGTGCCGTGGGTTGACTACTGTGCCAGGCTAGGTGCAGGAGGAGGAGGTCACGGGACAGACCCAGCAGGTACCATGGGTTGACTGCTGTGCCAGGCTAGGTGTAGCAGGAGGTCACGGGACAGACCCTGCAGGTGCCGTGGGTTGACTGCTGTGCCAGGCTAGGTGCATGAGGAGGAGGTCACGGGACAGACCCTGGAGGTGCCGTGGGTTGACTGCTGTGCCAGGCTAGGTGCAGGAGGAGGTCACGGGACAGACCCTGCAGGTGCTGTGGGTTGACTGCTGTGCCAGGCTAGGTGCAGGAGGTCACGGGACAGACCCAGCAGGTGCCGTGGGTTGACTGCTGTGCCAGGCTAGGTGCAGCAGGAGGAGGTCACGGGACAGACCCAGCAGGTGCCATGGGTTGACTGCTGTGCCAGGCTAGGTGCAGGAGGAGGAGGTCACGGGACAGACCCAGCAGGTGCCATGGGTTGACTGCTGTGCCAGGCTAGGTGCAGCAGGAGGTCACGGGACAGACCCTGCAGGTGCCGTGGGTTGACTGCTGTGCCAGGCTAGGTGCATGAGGAGGAGGTCACGGGACAGACCCTGCAGGTGCCGTGGGTTGACTGCTGTGCCAGGCTAGGTGCATGAGGAGGTCACGGGACAGACCCTGCAGGTGCCGTGGGTTGGCTGCTGTGCCAGGCTAGGTGCATGAGGAGGAGGTCACGTGATAGACCCTGCAGGTGCCGTGGGTTGACTGCTGTGCCAGGCTAGGTGCATGAGGAGGAGGTCACGGGACAGACCCTGCAGGTGCCGTGGGTTGACTGCTGTGCCAGGCTAGGTGCATGAGGAGGTCACGGGACAGACCCTGCAGGTGCCGTGGGTTGGCTGCTGTGCCAGGCTAGGTGCAGGAGGAGGAGGTCACGGGACAGATCCCGCAGGTGCCATGGGTGGACTGCTGTGCCAGGCTAGGTGCAGGAGGAGGAGGTCACGGGACAGACCCAGCTGGTGCCATGAGTTGGCTGCTGTACCAGGCTAGGTGCAGCAGGAGGAGGTCACGGGACAGACCCAGCAGGTGCCATGGGTTGAGTGCTGTGCCAGGCTAGGTGCAGGAGGAGGAGGTCACGGGACAGACCCAGCAGGTGCCATGAGTTGGCTGCTGTACCAGGCTAGGTGCAGCAGGAGGAGGTCACGGGACAGACCCAGCAGGTGCCATGGGTGGACTTCTGTGCCAGGCTAGGTGCAGGAGGAGGTCACGTGACCGACCCTGCTGGTTCCATGGGTTGACTGCTGTACCAGGCTAGGTGCATGAGGAGGAGGTCACGGGACAGACTCAGCAGGTGCCACGATTTTACTGCTGTGCCAGGCTAGGTGCAGGAGGAGGAGGTCACGGGACAGACCCTGCAGGTGCCGTGGGTTGACTGCTGTGCCAGGCTAGGTGCAGCAGGAGGAGGTCACGGAACAGACCCGGCAGGTGCCATGGGTTGACTGACTGAGGTGTCTGGCCCAGATATTCCACCTGTACACACAGGGCATTGTCTTGGGGTTTGAGGCCTGGGTCTGGGTGTTTCTCGGTGAGCTCGTGACGGACGTGTCAGAGCCGCTGAGGTGCTGGGTTGGAGGTTTGAGCCCTGGGTCATGATCACCACCAACACATATTCACAACCACTCCACCATCGGTTTTATTGACATCGTCAGAATTACCACTGCATCTTCACAATAACTCACTCACCCGTCCACCCACTCACTCATTCAACCACTCATCCACTCATCAACCCATCCACCCACCTACTCCCTCACTCACCCACCCACCAACTCACCCACCCACCCACCCACCTACTCACTCACCCACCCACCCACCTACTCACTCACCCACCCACTCACCCACCCACCCACCCACCTACTCACTCACTCACCCACCCACTCACCCACCCACCCATCAACCCACCCATCCACCCACCCATCCACCCACCCACTCACTCACCCACCCACCCACTCACCCACCCACCCACCCACCTACTCACTCACCCACCCACCAACTCACTCACCCACCCACCAACTCACCCACCCACCCATCCACCAACCCACCCACCAACTCACTCACCCATCTACCCACCCACTCATTCACCCACTCACCCACCCTTCAACCCACCCACCAACTCACCCACCCACCAACCCACCCACCATCAACTTTCAGGCCAACCTCTGACTTCCCTCCGCAGTGTCTGAGTGACGAGGTGACAAAGCAACGGCCTCAGCCAACCTCCACCTCCTCCACCCCCGCCACCGGTCCCCACGGCGACCGCGAGGGTCTCCACGGCGACCGCGAGGCTCCCCACGGGGACCGCGACGGCGGCGACGGGGCCGACGTGGACGGGGGGATGGTGAACATCGCCGCCCGACTCGCCGCGGCGTTCGCCAGCGCCGTGAGCGCCGCCTTCCCCGGCCTCGCCGTGCCTCCCGTGGCCATCGCTCCCTCGAAGCCGCAGCAGCAGCAGCAGAAGCAGCAGCAGCAGCAGGAGCAGCAGCAGGAGCAGCGCCTCGCCGATTACCAGTGCAACAGCGCCATGGCAATCGCGCAGGTCAGCCGCTATCATCGCGGTGTTCACGCAGACCCACAGATTCACCACACAGAGACCCACAGATTCACCACACAGAGACCCACAGAGACCCACAGACTCACCACACAGAGACCCACAGACTCACCACACAGAGACCCACAGACTCACCACACAGAGACCCACAGACTCACCATAGAGACCCACAGACTCATCACACAGAGACCCACAGACTCACCACACAGAGACCCACAGACTCACCATAGAGACCCACAGACTCCTACACAGAGACCCACAGACTCCTACACAGAGATCCACAGACTCACCACACAGAGACCCCCAGACTCAGCACATAGAGACCCACAGACTCACCACACAGAGACCCACAGACTCACCACACAGAGACCCACAGACTCACCACACAGAGAGACCCACAAACTCACCACACAGAGAGTCATCTGAGTGGCTGTGTGAATTTGACCTCTGACCTCCGACCCCCAGCTGCTGAAGGCTAAAGGTCAGAAGGTCAGCCCCAAGGACGTGGGGGCGGCCATTGTGAGTCACCTCCCGGCCAGCGACCTCGTGGAGCACGTGGAGGTCGTGGGCCCAGGTCACTCACCCCTCACCACTCACCCTCACCACTCACCACTCACTCACCCTCACCACTCACCCTCACCACTCACCCTCACCACTCACCCTCACCACTCACCCTCACCACTCACCACTCACCCCTCACCACTCACCACTCACCACTCACTCACTCACCACTCACCACTCACTCACCACTCACCACTCACTCACCACTCACCACTCACTCACTCACCCTCACTCACCCTCACCACTCACCCTCACCACTCACCCTCACCACTCACCCCTCACCACTCACCACTCACCGCACACCACTCACTCACTCACTCACCACTCACTCACTCACTCACCCTCACCCTCACTCACCCTCACCCTCACCACTCACCCTCACCACTCACCCCTGACCACTCACCACTCACCCTCACCCTCACCACTCACACTCACCCTCACCGCTCACCCTCACCGCTCACCCTCACCACTCACCACTCACTCACCCACTCACTCACCACTCACTCACCCACTCACTCACCACTCACCCTCACCACTCACCCTCACCACTCACCCTCACCACTCACCACTCACCCTCACCACTCACCACTCACCCTCACCACTCACCCTCACCACTCACACTCATCGCTCACCCTCACCCCTCACCACTCACCACTCACTCACCCACTCACTCACTCACCACTCACTCACCCACTCACCACTCACCCTCACCACTAACCCTCACCACTCACCCTCACCACTCACTCACCCTCACCACTCACCCTCACCACTCACCCTCACCACTCACCCTCACCAGTTACTCACCACTCACCCTCACCACTCACCCTCACCACTCACCCCTCACCACTCACCAGTTACTCACCAGTCGCTCACAACTCACCACTCACCACTCGCTCACCACTCACCACTAACCCTCACCGCTCACCCTCACCACTCACTCACCCACTCACCCACTCACTCACTCACCACTCACCCTCACCACTCACCCTCACCAGTTACTCACCACTCACCCTCACCACTAACCCTCACCACTCACCCTCACCACTCACCCTCACCAGTTACTCACCACTCACCCTCAGCACTCACCCTCACCACTCACCCTCACCAGTTACTCACCACTCACCCTCACCACTCACCCTCACCCTCACCACTCACCCTCACCAGTTACTCACCACTCACCCTCACCACTCACCCTCACCCTCACCACTCACCCTCACCAGTTACTCACCACTCACCCTCACCAGTTACTCACCACTCACCTCACCACTCACCTCACCTCAACTCACCTCACCAGTTACTCACCACTCACCCTCACCATCACCCTCACCACTCACCCTCACCACTCACCTCACAGTTACTCACCACTCACCACTCACCCTCACCACTCACCACTCACCCTCACCAGTTACTCACCACTCACCCTCACCAGTTACTCACCACTCACCCTCACACTCACCCTCACCACTCACCCTCACCAGTTACTCACCACTCACCCTCACCACTCACCCTCACCAGTTACTCACCACTCACCCTCACCAGTTACTCACCACTCACCTCACTCACCCTCACACTCACCCTCACCACTCACCCTCACCAGTTACTCACCACTCACCCTCACCACTCACCTCACCAGTTACTCACCACTCACCCTCACCACTCACCCTCACACCACCCACCACTCACTCCAGTTACTCACCACTCACCCTCACCAGTTACTCACCACTCACCCTCACTCACCCCACTCACCCTCACCACTCACCCTCACCAGTTACTCACCACTCACCCTCACCACTCACCCTCACCAGTTACTCACCACTCACCCTCACCACTCACCCTCACCACTCACCCTCACCACTCACCCTCACCAGTTACTCACCACTCACCCTCACTCACCCTCACCACTCACCCTCACCACTCACCCTCACCAGTTACTCACCACTCACCCTCACCGGTTACTCACCACTCACCCTCACTCACCCTCACCACTCACCCTCACCACTCACCCTCACCAGTTACTCACCACTCACCCTCACCAGTTACTCACCACTCACCCTCACCAGTTACTCACCTTTACCACTCACCCTCACTCACCCTCACCACTCACCCTCACTCACCCTCACCACTCACCCTCACCAGTTACTCACCACTCACCCTCACCAGTTACCACTCACCCTCACTCACCCTCACCACTCACCCTCACTCACCCTCACCACTCACCCCTCACCGGTTACTCACCACTCACCCTCACCAGTTACTCACCACTCACCCTCACTCACCCTCACCACTCACCCTCACCACTCACCCTCACCACTCACCCTCACCGGTTACTCACCACTCACCCTCACCAGTTACTCACCACTCACCCTCACCAGTTACTCACCACTCACCCTCACTCACCCTCACCACTCACCCTCACCACTCACCCTCACTCACCCTCACCACTCACCCTCACCACTCACCCTCACCACTCACCCTCACCAGTTACTCACCACTCACCCTCACCAGTTACTCACCAGTCGCTCACCACTCACCCTCACCACTCACCGCTCACCGCTCACCACTCACCACTCGCTCACCACTCACCACACACCACTCAGCGCTCACCAGTCGCTCACCACTCACTCACCGCTCACCACTCGCCGCTCATCACTCACCACTCACCAGTCGCTCACCACTCACCACTCGCTCACCACTCACCACTCACCAGTCGCTCACCACTCACCAATCGCTCACCACTTGCCGCTCACCACTCACCACTCACCAGTCGCTCACCACTCACCACTCACTCGCCGCTCACCACTCGCTCACCACTCGCTCACCACTCACCACTCAGCATCCACTCGCTCACCACTCACCACTCACCACTGGCTCACTACTCAACACTCGCTCACTCACCACTCAGCATCCACTCGCTCACCACTCACCACTCACCACTCGCTCACCACTCACCACACACCACTCGCTCACCACTCGCTCACTCAATCACAACTCACTCCTCATCGCTCCACTCGCACCAAGCACGGACTCTGTGGGTGAGTGGGTGTGGATAGCTGAGTGAGTGGGTAAGTGGGTGAGTGGATGGCTGAGTGAGTGAGTGAGTGGATGGGTGAGTGAGTGGGTGAGTGAGGTGAGTGAGTGGGTGGGTGAGTGGGTGGGTGAGTGGGTGGGTGAGTGGATGGGTGAGTGAGTGGATAGGTGAGTGAGTGAGTGAGTGGATGGGTGAGTGAGTGGATAGGTGAGTGAGTGGGTGGGTGAGTGGATGGGTGAGTGAGTGAGTGGATGGGTGAGTGAGTGAGTGGATGGGTGAGTGAGTGGATGGGTGAGTGAGGTGAGTGGGTGGGTGATTGTGAGTGCGTGGGACTTCAGTGGGGTGTGCGCCCCCTGACCCCCTGACCCCCTGACCTCTGACCTTTGACCCCGCTGCCCTCCGTGCAGGCTTCATCAACGTGTACCTGGACACGGCGTTCCTCGCGCGCCAACTCACACGCCTCCTCCTGCACGGAGTGAGCCCCCCCAACACCGGAGCCCGCAAGAAGGTGGGTGGGTGGGTGGGTGCGTGGGTGGGTGGGTGCGTGGGTGGGTGGGTGGGTGGGTGGGTGCGTGGGTGGGTGGGTGGGTGCGTGGGTGGGTGGGTGGGTGCGTGGGTGGGTGGGTGGGTGCGTGGGTGGGTGGGTGGGTGGGTGCGTGGGTGGGTGGGTGGGTGCGTGGGTGGGTGGATGAGTGGGTGGGTGGATGAGTGGGTGGGTGAGTGTGTGGGTGGGTGGGTGGGTGGGTGAGTGGGTGGGTGGGTGGGTGGGTGGTTGGGTGAGTGGGTGGGTGGGTGGGTGGGTGAGTGGGTTGTGTGGTGGGTGGGTGAGTGGGTGGGTGGGTGAGTGGGTGGGTGGGTGAGTGGGTGGGTGGGTGGGTGAGTGGGTTGTGTGGTGGGTGGGTGAGTGGGTGGGTGGGTGGGTGAGTGGGTGGGTGGGTGAGTGGGTGGGTGGGTGGGTGAGTGGGTGGGTGGGTGGTTGGGTGGGTGGGTGGGTGGTTGGGTGGGTGGGTGAGTGGGTGGGTGGGTGAGTGGGTGGGTGGGTGGGTGAGTGGGTGGGTGGGTGGGTGAGTGGGTGGGTGGGTGGGTGGGTGAGTGGGTGGGTGGGTGGGTGAGTGGGTGGGTGGGTGGTTGGGTGGGTGGGTGGGTGGTTGGGTGAGTGGGTGGGTGGGTGGGTGGGTGAGTGGGTGGTGTGGTGGGTGGGTGAGTGGGTGGGTGAGTGGGTGGGTGGGTGGGTGGTTGGGTGGGTGGGTGAGGTGGGTGGGTGGGTGGGTGGGTGGGTGGGTGGGTGAGTGGGTGGGTGGGTGGGTGGGTGGGTGGGTGGGTGGGTGGGTGGGTGGGTGGGTGGGTGGGTGGGTGGGTGGTTGGGTGGGTGGGTGGTTGGGTGGGTGGGTGGTGGGTGGGTGGGTGGGTGGTGGGTGGGTGGGTGAGTGGGTGGGTGGGTGGGTGAGTGGGTGGGTGGGTGGGTGAGTGGGTGGGTGGGTGGGTGAGTGGGTGGGTGAGTGGGTGGGTGCGTGGGTGGGTGGGTGGATGAGTGTTGTTGTTAATGTTATCGATGTTGCTGATTGCTGTTGTTGTTGGTGGTGATTGTTGTGAATGCTGTTGTTGTCAGTGTTCATTTTGCTGTTCGTTGTTAATTGTTGTGGTTGTTGATGCGGTGGTGCTTATTGTTGTTGATGTTGTTGTTGATGTTGTTGTGGTTGTTGTGGTTGTTGTTGCGGTGGTGCTTATTGTTGTTGATGTTGTTGATGTTGTTGTTGATTGTTGTGGTTGTTGATGCGGTGGTGCTTATTGTTGTTGATGTTGTTGTTGATGTTGTTGTTGATTGTTGATGCGGTGGTGCTTATTGTTGTTGATGTTGTTGTTGATGTTGTTGTGGTTGTTGTTATGGTGGTGCTTATTGTTGTTGATGTTGTTGTTGATGTTGTTGTGGTTGTTGTGGTTGTTGTGGTTGTTGTTGCAGGTCGTCATCGACTTCTCCTCCCCGAACGTGGCCAAGGAGATGCACGTGGGCCACCTCCGCTCCACCATCATCGGGGACAGCACCAGCCGCCTGTACGAGTTCCTGGGGCACGACGTCGTGCGGTGAGTGCTCACCCCACACGCTCACCCACACGCTCACCCACACGCTCACCCACTCACCCACACCCTCACCCACTTGCTCACCCACACACTCACACACTCACCCACACGCTCACCCACACGCTCACCCACACGCTCACCCACACACTCACACACACACCCGCACGCTCACCCACACGCTCACCCACACGCTCACACACACGCTCACACACTCACTCACACGCTCACCCCACACTCACCCACACCCTCACCCACACACTCACACACACAGTCACACACTCACACACACCCTCACCCACACGCTCACCCACACGCTCACCCACACGCTCACCCACACGCTCACCCACACGCTCACCCACTCGCTCACCCACACACTCACACACACACCCGCAAGCTCACCCACACGCTCACCCACACGCTCACACACTCACTCACACGCTCACCCCACACTCACCCACTCGCTCACCCACACGCTCACACACACGCTCACACACACGCTCACACACACGCTCACACACACGCTCACACACTCACTCACACGCTCCACCCCACACTCACCCACTCGCTCACCCACACGCTCACACACTCACACGCTCACCCACACACTCACACACACGCTCACCCACACGCTCACACACACACTCACTCACACACTCACCCACACACTCACTCACACACTCACCCACACGCTCACCCACACGCTCACCCACACACACGCTCACACACTCACTCACACGCTCACCCCACACTCACCCACACGCTCACCCACACACTCACCCACACGCTCACCCACACACTCACACACACAATCACACACTCACCCACACTCACACACACAGTCACACACTCACCCACACACACTCACCCACACACTCACCCACCCACTCACACACTCACACACTCACCCACACGCTCACCCACTCACCCACACACTCACCCACTCACCCACACACTCACCCACACGCTCACACACACAGTCACACACTCACCCACTCACCCACACACTCACCCACTCACCCACCCACTCACACACTCACACACTCACCCACACGCTCACCCACTCACCCACACACTCACCCACTCACCCACACACTCACCCACACGCTCACCCACACACTCACCCACACGCTCACTCACTCATTCACCCACACGCTCACCCACACACTCACTCACACGCTCACCCACACGCTCACACACACACTCCCCCACACGCTCACCCACACGCTCACCCACACACACGCTCACACACTCACTCACACGCTCACCCCACACTCACCCACACGCTCACCCACACGCTCACCCACACGCTCACACACACAGTCACACACTCACCCACACACACTCACCCACACACTCACCCACCCACTCACACACTCACCCACACGCTCACCCACTCACCCACACACTCACCCACTCACCCACACACTCACCCACACGCTCACACACACAGTCACACACTCACCCACTCACCCACACACTCACCCACCCACTCACACACTCACGCACTCACCCACACGCTCACCCACTCACCCACACACTCACCCACTCACCCACACACTCACCCACACGCTCACCCACACACTCACCCACACGCTCACTCACTCACTCACCCACACGCTCACCCACACGCTCACTCACTCACTCGCTCACCCACTCACCCACACACTCACCCACTCACCCACACACTCACCCACACACTCACCCACCCACTCACACACTCACACACACACTTACCCACCCACTCACACACTCACACGCTCACCCACACGCTCACCCACTCGCTCACCCACACGCTCACCCACACGCTCACCCACACGCTCACCCACACACTCACCCACTCACCCACACACTCACCCACACACTCACCCACACACTCACCCACACACTCACCCACTCACACACACAGTCACATACTCACCCACACACTCACTCACTCACCCACACACACGCTCACCCACACGCTCAAACACACGCTCACCCACACACTCACCCACACGCTCACACACACGCTCACCCACACACTCACACGCTCACTCACCCACTCACACGCTCACCCCACACACTCACTCACACACTCACCCACACGCTCACCCACACGCTCACACACACGCTCACACGCTCACTCACCCACTCACACACTCACTCACACACTCACTCACACGCTCACCCACACACTCACTCACACACTCACCCACACACTCACTCACACACTCACCCACACGCTCACCCACTCACTCACTCACATGCTCACTCACCCACTCACACGCTCACCCACACACACACTCACCCACACGCTCACCCACACGCTCACCCACACGATCACCCACACACTCACACACTCACATGCTCACCCACACACTCACCCACACACTCACCCACACACTCACCCACTCACCCGCACGCTCATCCACACACTCACACACTCACCCACACACTCACACGCTCACCCACACGCTCACACACTCACTCACCCACACACTCACCCACACACTCACCCACACACTCACCCACACACTCACCCCCCGCTCACCCCACGCTCACCCACACACTCACTCCCCGCTCACCCCACACTCACCCCCTGCTACAGGCTGAACCACATCGGTGACTGGGGCACGCAGTTCAGGACGCTCACCCCACGCTCACCCCCCGCTCACCCCACGCTCACCCCCCGCTCACCCCACGCTCACCCCACGCTCACCCCACGCTCACCCCACGCTCACCCCACGCTCACCCCACGCTCACCCGACGCTCACCCCCTACTACAGGCTGAACCACATTGGTGACTGGGGCACGCAGTTCGGGATGCTGATTGCCCACCTGGTGGATCGCTTCCCCAACTACACGGAGCAGCCGCCACCCATCGCAGATCTGCAGGCCTTCTACAAGGTCAGTCACACTCACACATACACACATACAAAGATCCCCCTTATAGCCTTAACAGACTGTAGGGGCAAGTGCTGTTAGCGAGCACCTATGAAGGCCAGCACGGTACACGAAGGGGTGGGTGGCCAGCACCACGCCCGACCGCCTTTGTCTCCCTAGTGGCGATGTTTACACACCGCACCAGGTACTCATTTAAGGCTGAGTCGACCTAGGGGAGGCCCAGGACCGGTTCAGATAATCGTCACTGGTGTTAGCCGTGAGCGGGAATCGAACCCGGGTCGCCAGGTTCATAGCGCAGCGCGCTAACCGCTACACTACCGCTCCCCACACACATACATACAACAACAACAACAACCGCCATTCGCCACTAAGTGGCGGTGATGTCACCACGATGCTTGTGCCAGGCCAAGTGCACCTTGAGGCCACGTGAAGTGTCGAAAGCCCGCTGGCAGGAGGTCACGGGGCAGACCCAGGTGCCACGGGTCGACTGACCGAGATGACCGAGATGACTGGCTGATGCACCACCTGTGCCCCCTACTGTGCCAACTTGCTGTGCTTTAGCCACCCGGCGCTCCGCTCGTTGTTGTGAGCGTCGCTCCTCCGCCCTCCGTTGTTGTTGGAGGGCGACTGCCTCCAACTGCCCAGTAGCGTCCTTCACGAGCCTCCTCCACTGAGGCCGATCTTGACACCGCTGGTACCAGTCATCGGCAAGTCCACTCAGCTCCACGTCCTCCTGTACCACATCACTCCATCTCTTCTCTAGCCCGTGCCGCGCCCGTTTAGCCCCCTCGATCCGGCCGAACAAAAGCTGTTTAGGCATGCGGTAGCTGGGCATGCGGGCTACATGACCCAGCCAACGCAGCCTTGCCTGCCGGAGGAGC